GAGCAGCGTATTTTAAACAGTTATCATCGAAAAACTACATTAACAACATTTAAAAACTGCATTACCAACGTAGATTTGAGGCTGCCACTCAGCAAAGTCAAACCGGTTAGAACATTTGTAGAAATGCCACTTGAGAAATATACGTGTGGGGCTTGCGCCAATGCAATTAAAGAAAATAGGTCCACAGTTGTAACAGGTGGCTACACCAAAAGTGTTCAGACATCAACACTAAAGACTTCAAGAGAATTGCAACTGAAATCAAGAAAAATAAATTCAAATGGTGCTGTAACCAATGTAAACTGGAGGCAAGCATAATTGTTTCTGATGATCTAGGAGACGATAACCTTAGTGATGACCCTATTACATCAAAATTGGAGGGCCTATTCAATAAGAATAATATACAGAAAACTCTGGGCAATATACAATCAGAGCTTGAGACCATTTCCAAACAAAATCTGAGTATGTCTAAACAATGGGCCGTATGAATAAAAACTAAGCAATTGCTTTTTCTTAAAATTTCATACCTTTTACTTCAATTTTGTTTGAATACATTGAGTAAAAGATCTGAAATTTTAAGAAAATGCAATTGCTTATTTTTATTCATACGGCCNACAAAATCTGAGTATGTCTAAACAATGTGCTTCGTTGGACAAAAGAATCAGTGAGGTGGAAAACAAGCTAAAAACATTTGAAGGCGGTACATCGGACGTGGATAATATCATAGCTGAGACAGTGTATAGGAAGAAGCGCGAAAGAAATGTCATCGCCTTCAATGTTCCTGAATCGAAGAAGCAAGTGGGCTCTGAGCGATTGTATGATGACCGCGTAGTGGTTTCCAAAGCTTTACCACCTGAGTTAGCCGAAGTTGTTTCTAATATGAAAATGCGCAGAATTGGTCGCCCAAAAGACCGCAAAACTCGCCCTCTGTTGATCACTACGCCTTCGGTTGATGATGCAAGAAGAATTCTCAAAATAAAACATACAGAAAACAGAGACAACATAAATTTTAAACCAGATTTGACTCGGTGCCAGCAGAATCATCTTAACAGCCTACGGGAAGAGCTCGAGGCTCTTAAAAATAATGGTGAAACAAACAAGACAATCAGGTATATAAATGGCATCCCAAGAATTGTGAATGTGCCTGGATTTCGAAGCGACGAGGAGAACCACTAAGACCAAACAAGATCTGCTAGTGTACTACCAGAACGCAAGGCGGCTTTCGAACTAAACTTAACGATTTTTTCACTATAACAGAAAGTTGGCAGTGTGATGTACTATGTATTTCGGAGTCTTGGTTGCATCCGTCTATTTTGGATGGCGAAATTGTTGAC